AAATCTTTCAAGATCCTCATAGAAAAAACAGTGATGCATGGCCTGGGTGAGTAGACAGTGAGGTAGATTGAAAACTGGCTGAAGGGCCAGGCCCAGAGAACGGTGATCAGTGGAATGAAGTCAACTTGGAGCCCAGAAACTAGCAATGTACCCCAGGGACAAATACTGGGTCCATTTCTGTTCAACATTTTCATTAATTATCTGGATGATGGGGCAGTGTATACACTCAACAAGTTTGCAGATGACAGCAAACTGGAGGGAGTGGTTGATACACCAGAGGGTTGTGTTGTCATCCAGAGGAACCTTGATAGGCTGGAGAAATGGGCTGACAGGAACATCTTAAAGTTCAACAAGGAGAAGTGCAAAGTCCTGCACCTGGGGAAGAGCAACCCCAGGTACCAATATATGCTGGCAGAAACCCAGCTGGAAAATAACTTCACAGAAAAGGACCTGGGAATTCTGGTAGACGCCAGGTTGAACATGAGACAGCAATGTGCCCTTGTGTCAAAGAAGGCCAGTGGTGTCCTGGGCTGCATGAGGAGTGTTGTCAACAGGTCAAGGGAGGTGCTCCTTTCCCTTCATTCAGTGCTGGTGAGGCCACCCTTGGAGTATCGTGCCCAGTTCTGGGCTCATCAATACAAGAGAGATGTTGACATTCTGGATAGAGTCCATCAAAGGCCCACTGAGATGAAGAAGGAACCAGAGCACATCACATTCAAGGAAAGACAGAGAACTGGGACTGTTTAGCCTAGTGAAAAAAAGGCTCAAGGAGGATCTCATCAATGTATAGAAATACCTAAGGGGAAGGTGTCAAGAATCCCACAATCCCAGAATTGTTGAGACTGGAAAGGACCTCTAGACATCATCTTGTCCAACCCAACTGCTTAAGCAGGGCTACCTACAGCCAGTTTCTCAGGACCATGTCTAGATGGAGTTTTTTTAATATCTCTAAGGAGGGAGACTCCACAACATTCCTGGGGAATCTACTCCAATGCTTTGTCACTCATACAGTGAAAAAGGGTTTCCTGATGTTCAGATGGGACCTTCTGTGTTTAATTTTGTCTCTGGTTTTGTCACTGGACATCACTGAAAAGAGCCTGGCTCTGTCTTTTTTGCACCCTCTCTTCAGGTGAAAAGAATTGCAGTTGAATAGCAGAAGATGGTGATGAACTCATGTTCATTCTGGATCCTTCAGTATTTTTCTGAATTTGAAGACAGAAGGACATCCCACAGCACGAGCTTTGTCAGTAAGGACAATTGCTGTGGAATTTTTTGTGTGCCTAAAGTGACATCAAGCACTTATCACTGGGCATCTGAATTACTTCAGTTTATTCTGTTATGCTTTTGGGACAACTCTGTACTACAGCTGAGGTAAGGAGAAATTTTTCTCACCAGCCCAGTGAGGCCTGGGCTGGCTGACAGCCAGCATTGAGTTATAGTAGGTTATTGTTGTTACAGCACTCTGCTAGTGCTTGAGTCTCAAAGGGGTAAGTAATGTTTGTGGAAGAGAAATATTCATCCTTTGGCAAAGGATGTTTTACATACCAATGAGTTATCCAAAAGGATGAACTTTTTCTGTATCAAAGAAGACAACTTAAAGGAATTGCAGAGTATTAGAAATGGTCAGACAGATTTCCCTATTAATAATACAAAATCTACCCTATGAGGGGGTAACTGGGGCAGAATGGAGAGGTGGTGTCCTTTAAACATGGATCTTAAAAATGACCTTGTCCAGGTATGAGATTAACATGGGAAACAGCATCTGTGACTCCCTCACCCTCTCTTCTTGAACTATTATACTATACATTTCAAACACTATCCTGCTTTGTTTGTAGGGAGGGTTTTCTCTCCATCCCTGGTAGATAGAGAGCAGACGTGTTACCTTTAATGTGCTCTAAATGTATTTCTATTTGCCTCATCAGTGAAGATATTCCCCAGGTTTGAGTGGCCTGCTGGCCTGGATCTTCTACAGGATGAGGTGAAACAAGCTCCAGCCCACAATAAATGTGGTTAACAATGTCATTGCAACTACAGGCTAAGGTCTTCCTAGGTAACCCTGAGGAACTGGTGCCAATAAATATAGCATATAGACAAGATCTTGCAGAATTATATCAGCATAGCATGTAAATTAATAGGGCAGGGCCAGAAACAGATTTCTGTTTCTATCAGGAATGGGCATGGACTAACCAACACCAGGGATAGCAGGGATACTATCCTGATTATATCAGTGCAGTGCAATAATCTTAATATCACAGGAAAAATCAAATCCACACCATCTTTGCTTTTAGCTGTGATTCATGATTATGGGTACAAATTTTTTTTTATTATTATTATAATTTTTGTTGGTTTGTTGGCTTTGGTTTGGTTTTTTTTTTTTTTTTGTTTTTTTTTTTTTTTTTTTTTTCAGTATGCATATTTTAAAATTCTGGAGTATTTTGGCTTCACTAATTAATGCTGAACTAATGCTGTTGTTGAACCTAACCTGCTGTCCTGCTGTACCTGGCTGAATCTAAGGCCACAGCTTCCAACATTTAATACAAAGATTAGACTCTGGAATGGATGAATTTCAACAGTGTAATAATAGAGTTTCTTGCAAAGTGTATGAGAAGCTGTTTGAGACATTTGTGAATTTGTGAATGACTGTGGTTAGTTTTCATTACTTTCTGCTTAGTTTTCAGTACTTCCACTTTTCTTGGAGGTATAATAAAAACTATTATCATAGCTGCATAACTTAGACAGATTTCTAGCAGATCAAGTGACACTGCAGATTTCAGGAGCGGACAGCAGAATGAGTACTGGGAGGTATACCTGGCAGGAATGGCTCATGTAGTGGGAAGTAGCCTGTGGAAGTTGCTCGTACTACAACATAGTTTACATCAGATATGCAGGAGTGTTAATTGTTTCTATAGGAGAGAAAACCAAACACCTGACCTTACTTTTATTTCCTCTGAAGACACAACTATAAAGACTATTAGAGTAATTTCCTAGAAATGATGAACCATGTTTGTTTGCAATTTCAGTTAACATAGCTACATTAATGTTTCCTCTTTCCCAGGTCTGTAAATTCTGGGCCAGTTTTGCTCTCTCATGCAGCAACGTTTAATTCACTGTTTAGGACTGTTAAGCCATACAAGTAATAAGACCCAATATAAGCGGATGTCATAATATGTTTCCTTGTTTTAGTTACATTCTCATAACATTTCTTCTTCAACTAGCTATGCCTTATTCAGCGCTCCTGCTGTCTTTGCTTTGTGGTGTTTCTCACTCCATGAGCTATGGCCCTTAGCTTGCTGCACTGCTTTCTTTGTTTTACTGGCTTTGTTCCAGCCAAGCTAACCATTGTTGTTAGTGTGACTCTTGGAATAGTGCATATAGCACTACTATTAAACATAGGCAACTGCTGTATATGATGTGGATAAACAGGTTCTTCCATTATCCAACTCAGAAGATTCTTAAACAGCTTATCACACACTTCAAAGATGATTCTTACACAAAATCCTTTACATTTTACTCTCCTTTCCCAGACTGTAACATCTTCAATTAATTGATGATTTCTTTTGCTTGGATTATCATGACTAGTCACAACTTGGGAACAATTATGCACAATTTTATTTGCCCTTGTCTTCTAAATATTGACCCTGCAAACTTTTTCTGTTTTATGAGAAGATTTCCCTTTTAGCAGAACTATCTCTCAAACTCTAGAAAATCCACATACAATTGTTTCAGCCTTTTCCATGATTGCTCAGTGGTCTTGTTCTTTTATATACCCTCAAACAACTGGGTGAGGAGTGTGAATTCTGACCTCTAGAACTTTACCACCAGGCTCTAGGAAACTATTTTTTTTCTTCAGGATGTTTCACTGTTGCTCTTCATTGACATCTTCCAACCTCTGAACAGCAGCAGCAGCAGCAGCAGTAGAATCTTCAGGTTTGTCCCACCAATATTAATTGTGTATTCTGTCTGCACAGACAAACCAGGATATAGGATAAGGGTGTGCAGTACAGAAAATCTTCTTTGAAATTCCAAATGAAAGCCCTTGATCTATTGAAATAACAGGCTTTGGGAGTTTATGTTGTGTCTATCTTCCTATCTCCCCGTCTTTTAAAAATAAATTCAGAGTCCTCCCTCATCTATATACAGCTCAAGGAGGAAATGTCTAGTACCAGTAATAAATAATGTGTATATTACTTGATAGGTATTGCAGCAGATTCTTCTAGAAACAGTGATCTAGGAAGTGCCACAGTTGCTGTTCTTGAAAGGAAACGGGAAGATAATTATCAGCCCTCCTACTAAGTCATCTGCTAGGCTCTTGGAGTGAGTTGCTTCCCCATCTTAGCACTGAGTACCAGAGGAATGGATAAACTCTTTTCATATGATTTGGCCACACTACTTCTACAGGAGTGATGGATTGTTATTTCAATCAGTAATCTAGTACATGAGCTTCTCACAAATATTCTAGTACCTGCAAATTCCTTGGGCTGTTATGCCTTTGTTCACATTTCAGATTGAACTTTTCCAGTTTAGACTGAGGGAACAAAGCAGTTTCAGTCAGTATGACCATATGTCTGACTTTTAATGTTCTATAGAAAGGTACTTACATAAATGTAAGCTGGGTCTGTAAGGGACTGTGTTGGACTTTGTTTGTCTCAACATTTCTGCTGCACCGCTACAGCTTCCTGGCCTCAGCATCCTGTTGCTGTGACGAATAGTCCCTGATGAAAACATGACGTCCACCCAAAGCAAAACCAACACCAAGCGGCACCTGCGCACGAGCCGCGTGGAGGAGGTGAGGAAGATTTGCACCCTCGCCCACAAGACCACCATGAACACCGGGGTATGCGCGCATGGAAGACCACGGGGCAACAATGAGCTCCGTGGAAATGGGCAGAATTTTCGTGGGGACTAAAAGGGACTGCATCAAAGCGGGGCTGGGGGGGGCCTCCAGAGTGAGCGGAGACTTCGGCGGAGCCTGGAACACCATCACCGGCGCTGAGACCGAGCCAGCAGAACATCGCTGGAGTCGTGGGGGTGGTACTTAGTCTTGCTGTATCTCTACCACTTTCTAGCTTAGGGATTCTGACTTTCTCTTCCTTTTCTCCCTGTCCTATCGCTACTATTGTTAGCGGTCGCAATCGCGAATAGAACTTATCTACACAAAGCAGATAAGCAGGCACTTCTTTTTTCCAGCACTGGGGAACACGGGGGATAATTCTGCCAAAGAACGTGTTCGCCGACAGGTACAAAGCACAACATATTTATACACTTTTTCAGCAGAGTCATAGTTACATAGGATCAACAAAATTCATAAAGTTTAAGTTGACCTTAATAATGATTGGCTTTCCATTACCTCACCTTATCTATATTCCTATTCTGCAGAAATCATTGGTCATCTTTACTGATTGATTTAAACAGAATGGGGGGAGGGCAATGATTAACATATTCATGTTATTTCCTGGGAATTATTATCATATGCAAATGTCTCTAACGCATGCGTGGTTATACTGGACAGGGGTCCTCTGGTGGTCGTCGATAGTCTTCCTCACTGTGTCGGCTGATTGAACTCCATCCTTGCGCATGCTCATTTTATCTTTGGCTAATGCTCACCTCTCCCGTGGCCGATCTTCCCAACCAAACCATTTTCTTCTGGTACCTATTGTTTCAAGTCAAGATCCATAACCAGTACCTATTGTGTTAATTCAGAGTCCATAACGATTGTTATAGTGTTCAAGGCACACAGCATACTAGTTGCTCTAATCCTAATGGCCTTAGTGTACTTTATATTCTCATAGCTACTGTAGCTTTATGTTAAATCAAAATCATACTTTTAAACTAAAATCAAAATAATATTCTAGGATTCAAACTGTTTTATTAAGGTAACTGCAACAATTCCCCCCTTTGAAAGTATTGATAATCATACTCAATACTTTCATATATTTAAATTGTGGTCTCACTGAATGCCGAATTGTCATATGATGGTGTATCATTTAGTGACTTATCTTGTTGCTTCACCTCTGCTTGTATAATAATTCGATTAAACTCTGCTTTAAGGGTCAATTCATGTTTCAAATAACTGTATGTCAGACCAAGCACTATGAACACCATTGGTCACCTGTGCTAGGCCTGATAATGATATTTTTCCATTCATCCATGTTTCTACCATCATAGACAATTAAATTTACAGAAAACCAAAATTCAGATACTTAATCATGCTTCAGAGTCAATTTTAACATTTCTGGCCATCCAGAAAAGGTATCAACCCCAACCAGAACATACCGATATCCTTTACATTTGGGTAATTCTGTAAAATCAATTTACCAATAGTCACCAGGTTCTACTCCTACTTTCAGTTTGCCCATCTGAACTCTCTTCTGTACCACCGGATTATTCTTTAAACATACATTGCGTTTTGCAGCAACTGATTTAGCCATCTCTAACATCCTTACCGATACTATGTGACTCTTCAGGAATCTCACCAGGGCTTCTACACCCCAATGGCATTCCTGAAGTTTTACTTGTAATATTTCCCTCATAATCAATGGGGGCACAACCACCTGGCATTCAGAGGTTGTCCACCATCCTCCTAAATTTTTCTTTGCATTTAAAAATTGAGCCAATTTCTCATCTTCCTTCAAGTATTCTGGTGGATCCTTTGGGAGAGTTACAGTTCTAGTAGGAATTATTGCCATTTGTAACACTCGCTGTTGAGCTGCTTCCTTGGCAGCTTGATCTGCTAACCTATTCCCTCCTACTATTTTTGTATTTCCAGATTGATGTGCTTTACAGTGCATGGTCGCTATTTGGGCTGGTTCCTGTACCACCAATAACAACTGTAAAATTTCCTTCTGATGCTTAATATTTGCCCCCTGGGAGGACAATAGTCCTCATTCTTTCCATAATGCTCCATGGACATGAACCACTCCAAAAGCATATTTTGAATCTGTCCAGATGTTCACTTTCTTTCCCTTACTTAATTCCAATGCTCGTGTTAAGGCAATTAATTCTGCTTTCTGTGCTGATGTAGTGTTGGGCAGTGCATTTGCCTCTACGACAGTACTTTCAGTTGTTATCGCATATCCTGCGTAGCGAGTTCCATTCTGTACAAAGTTACTGCCATCTGTAAACAGCTCCCATTCAGGATCTTCGAGAGGGACATCCTTCAAATCTTCTCGACTAGAGCATGTATGTTCAGTAGTCGTTATACAATCATGTTCAGGTTGTTCTTCCTCCTGTGAAGCACTCAGAAAAACTGCAGGATTTACAAGATTAGTTGTTTTCAGAATCACATCATCTTGCTCCGTAAGGATTACCTGATATTTCATCATTCTTCTAGGGGACAGCCAACACCCCCCTTTTTGTTCCAGCACTGTAGCAACCATATGTGGAACATAGACTGTGATGGTTCTTCCCAAGGTGAGCTTTCTGGCTTCTTGTATCAATATGATTGTTGCCGGTACTGCCCGCAAGCAGGAAGGCCATCCTTTGCTCACCGTGTCCAGTTGTTTAGAAAAGTACCCCACAGGTCTCTTCCAGATTCCCATACTCTGAATTAGGACTCCCAGGGCAAGGTGCTGCCTTTCATGGACAAACAACTGGAAATCTTTAGTTAAATCAGGTAATCCTAGAACTAGTGCTGTCATTAAATCTCGCTTAAGCTTTTGAAAGGCCTCCTGTTGTTGTTGACCCCATATGAAAGGGGTGGACTTTTGGGCCTCGTATAATGGCTGGGCCAAGAGACCATAATCCATAATCCAAAAATGACACCACCCGGCCATTCCCAAGAAAGCTCTTAATTCCTGTACAGTCCAAGGTTCCGGAATAGCACAGATTGCTTCCTTTCGATCAGTCCCCAATCTTCTTTGCCCCTTTGAAATCTCAAAGCCTAAATATATCACAGTTTGGCTTGCTATTTGGGCTTACTTCTTAGACACCTGATACCCATTAAGTCCCCCCAAAATATTTAAAAGTTCAATGGTTACCTGTATACAGGCTGTCTTTTCTTCTGTAGCTATTAAGATGTCATCCACATATTGTAAGAGTAGATGTTCTCATCACGGAGTCACTGTCTTTTCATTTGTCCGTATCTCTAGTCTTTGGCAAGTTGGCTGACGAAGATTGTTGGGCTGTTCTTAAATCCTTGGGGTAGTCATGTCCAGGTTAACTGTACTTTACACCCTGTTTGTGGGTTTTCCCACTCAAAAGCAAACAGCTTACGACTTTCCTGTTCCAGGGGTATGCAAAAGAATGCATCTTTCAAATCAAGCACTGTAATCCACTGATATTTTTCTTTAAGGGCTGTCAATAAGGTATATGGATTTGCCACTACCGGGTGAATGTCTTTTACAATTTGATTTATAGCTCTCAAGTCCTCTACTAAACTATACTCACCTGTGGGCTTTCGGACTGGTAAAATAGAGGTATTATATTCTGACTCACATTCTTCTAAAATCTTATATTTCAAGAATTTGTCAATCAGCCTTTTAATTCCCTGTTTTGCCTCAGGTTTAATTGGGTATTGTTTGATCCTAACTGGTTTTGCTCCTTCCTTTAATTCAATTTTCACTGGTTGTGCCAGTTTAGATTTTCCAGGGACATCAGTTTCCCACACCATGGGAACTACTGCATAACTCACTTCTGGGGGATTTCTTGTACCTTTGGTTTTTCCTGTATCATCAGAATTTCCCCTGTTTTTGATTCTGGTATTTTTAACAACAATTCTCCATTTTCAAAAGCTATCTGGGTATTTAATTTGGATAGCAAGTCTCTTCCCATTAAGGGTACCGGACATCTGGAACGTACAGAAATTCATGTGTTATGATTTTATTTCCAAATTGTAAATTCAATGGTTGTAAGAATGGCCGGTTTTCCTCCTTCCCTGTGGCTCCCACAATATTTACCGTTTTAGATCCTATCATCCCCTTCTGTTTGTTCAGAACCTAGAACGTTGCTCCAGTGTCCACCAAAAAAGGTAACCTCCTTTTCTCCCAGCTTAATTGTAACCAGAGGCTCAGCTGGGTTCACCTCCGGTCCCTGTAAATCTGCATACTCTTCTAGAATCATCACATTAGCTGCTGTTTGCTGACTATTTAATTTCCTTGGATAATCCTTTTTCCAGTGCCCCTCCTTCTTACAAAAGGCACACTGCTTTATTCCGAGAGGGGTTCTGTCAGTCAATCTTCCTCTTCCTCCTTGTATTCCTCCCCTTAAAGGACCTCTTCTCCTTCCTCGGTTAGTAAAATTCTGTGTCTCTGTCACCATTGCAAGCAATTGTTTTTGTTTCTTAACTTCATTTTCTTTTTCTCGATTAATGTAAATTTTCCATGCTACCTCTAATAATCGGTCCAAACTCCACAGCTCCCTCCCCTCCAGCTTCTGAAGCTTTCTCCTTATGTCTTCTTGAGATTGACCCAAAAAAATCAATGCCAACTGTGCTTTCGTCCCTTCTGCCTCAGGCTGCATATCTGTATATTTACGGATTGCTTCCTTTAATCTTCTAAAAGTGCTGTGGGAGATTCCTTTTTCTCTTGCCTAATATCATACAATTTGGGCCAATTTATAGCTTTAGGCATAGCATTTTGGACCCCATATACGATCCACTGTTGGTATCGTTTTATTTTTTGCATATGATCATCCCGATTTGGATCCCACTGGGGGTTACCGATGGGAAAATTTTGATCTAAGGTACCATCTACTGTCCTGATGTGAATATCTTCTTCTGCTCGCATTCTTGCACTCCTCAAGACCATCTGCTTCTCTGTGGAATCCATAAGGGTGTCCAAAATTACTTGTATATCCTCCCAATCTGGGTTTTGGGTTTTAATTATCATTCCCCTTACTCTTCCAACTTTACCGGGATCTTCCCCATAAGGGCCAGCTGATTCTTTCCAGATAATTAAATCAGAAGGTGAAAAAGATACCTTTACATATACTGGCCCATTTTGCCCAACTCCTTGCCTCAGAGGGTCAATCATATTTCTTCCTAATTCTGATCTCAAGGGGGTTATCACACAAGTATGATATCGAGTTCTACTGGAGACTGGTGGAGAGGGCTCTACTTCAATCTCCTCATCCTCCAATCCACTACTGTCTGGATGAGGCTGGAGCCCTTCTCTTAAATCAGCACCCTGGGCTGATTGCCCAGTCGGATGCCAAGGTCCGGAATCAGGTCCACGTTCAGGGAAAGGCAGTGGAATGGGGGGGGTAGATGGGAACTGCAGGAATTATTGGGGCAGTAGGAGCAATATCTAATTCAGGACCTGTTTCTGTATGTCCCCTTCCCCTCAGTGCCAAATATTTAAAGCACATTTTAGTGGAAATACATATGGGGCAACGTTCTTGAACCTTTTTATCCTTTACCATAAGAGACATCACTTGATTAATCAGCCCACATTCTTTTTGCCACTCCAGTTTTTCTCGCAGATAAAAGAACAGATGGAACCTCATCCCCTTTTTCTTCCCTTTTACAAAATAACATTCATTGCAAAATAGTATTATGGCTTAAGGTCCCATTCAGGGTCCACATTTCCCCATCTTCTAATTTATACAATGGCCATTCATGATTACAAAATTCGATAAGTTGAATTTTGCTTAATTCATCATGCATCTCTTTCCAGTGTTCTAAAAGACAACCCAAGGGAGTGTTTCTTGGTATAGAGCTCTTGCTCCCTCTCCCTTCTTTAAACAGGTTTAAAAATTTAAATGCCATAGTAAACCGACAGTATACCTTTTTTTTTTTTTTTTTTTTTTTTTCCTTTCACTTCGCTTATCTCTGGCTGCACCCCTCGCAGGATAACAGAACCGCGGATCAAAGCTCCACACTCACTTCCTACGTAATCACACATCTCATTCACTCATTCACGCATAAAAACTCAACAGTATTTCAACAGTGTTTCATTGTTTCCTGTATTACCAGAGTTACAAATTTACCAGATTCATAAGCACAGAAACAAATTACAGAATCCGAAAGATACAATTTCTCGTATCAAGACCAGAAAGTACCTATGTGAACACCGAAGTGTTCCTGATCAGATGTATACCAGTGAGGTGCTAGCAACCCCAGTATATGCTGTTCCACGCAAGATCCCACGTCTCACGATTTATGAACAGCCCAGACCCTCTTCTAATAATCCTTGCCTTATTCCTCACAGTGACTCAACTGAGATAAGGAGTCCCTCCGGGAAAGTTCCCGGGAGCGCCCAAGAGAGTCCTATTCTCAAGGAGTCCCGCGGGCCCCGATCCTTTAATTCCCTTTCACCACTGACACTGATGCCAACCCCGTGAAACTTTTGTATTCACCTTATGGGCAGCGCCGAGGCTTCCACTGCTCAGGAATTCCCTAGCCCCAACCACACGGAACTTTGGCTCCATCTGACAGGCAGGCTTTCCACTAATTCCAAAGAAGTGCCTTACCTTTCCAGGGGATGTTGCGAGGAGCTTTATGGGTAGACAATGATGGTTCTCCCTGAGAATTCCTCGGTGCTGCCTGCAGTTTGATCAGTGCTCAATCCCGTCCAGTCTCACTTCGCAAGGTCCCATCTGGGTCGCCAAAACTGTTAGCGGTCGCAATCGCGAAAGAACTTATCTACACACAGCAGATAAGCAGGCACTTCTTTATTCCAGCACTGGGGAACACGGGGGATAATTCCGCCAAAGACGTGTTCGCCAACAGGTACAAAGCACAACATATGTATACACTTTTTCAGCAGAGTCATAGTTACATAAGATCAACAAAATTCATAAAGTTTAAGTTGACCTTAATAATGATTGGCTTTTAGTTACCTCACCTTACCTATATTCCTATTTTACAGAAATCATTGGTCATCTTTACTGATTGATTTAAATAGAATGGGGGGAGGGAAATGATTAGCATATTCATGTTATTTCCTGGGAATTATTATCACATGCAAATGTCTCTAACGCATGCGTGGTTATACTGGATGGGGTCCTCTGGTGGTCGTCGATAGTCTTCCTCACTGTGTCGGCTGATTGAACTCCATCCTTGCGCATGCTCATTTTATCTTTGGCTAATGCTCACCTCTCCCGTGGCCGATCTTCCCAACCAAACCATTTTCTTCTGGTACCTATTGTTTCAAGTCAAGATCCATAACCAGTACCTATTGTGTTAATTCAGAGTCCATAACGATTGTTATAGTGTTCAAGGCACACAGCATATTGGATGCTTAATCCTAAGGGCCTCAGTGTACTTTATATTCTCATAGCTACTGTAGCTTTATGTTAAATCAAAATCATACTTTTAAACTAAAATCAAAATAATATTCTAGGGTTCAAACTGTTTTATTAAGGTAACTGCAACACTATCAGTTGCTTATTCAATAAAGTTCACAAGGTTGTACAGCATCTGACCTTGTTTGTGTCTTAATCTCGCTCTTGGGATTGTTTAAGAACCCTCCCCGATATCGTATCAGGACAGGGTCCTATAATAGAAGCCTTCCTTGGATGTATTTTGTTATGTGCCACTGTGGTGCAGAACCTAGTGGTAGTGGTGCAGGTAGAACTCTTCCAGCTATCCCAAGATAAAGGGAAGATGCAGCTCCATCTGCTGATACTGGTGCAATAGAAAAGATTTCATAGGGTCAGGCCCCTGCTAAGAGTTAACAGGCCACTGAACCCTGTCTGGTGATAAATACTACTGGAAGAACAGATTTGAAGTTCATATACAGCCTGGCTTGGAAAAGACCTGGAAGCTTCTGCTGGGTTTCTGTGGCGTGGTTTTTGGTAACAGGGGAGGAGGATACAGTGGTGGCCATTGTGAGAAGCTTCTTGAAGATCCCCCAGCTCCAAGTCGCACCCACCTCTGGACAAGGGCTAGCCAATTAATGATGGTGGCCACGCCTCTGTGATAACATATTCAAGAAGGGAAACCTGAGAGAGGGTTGGGACCTGTGAGAAAGAGTTATGGGAAGGACTCCTATGAGAATACTAAGGTCAATGGAAGGAAGGAGGAGGAAAAGGGGTATGTGTTCCAGAGCAGAGAGCCCCAGGTATACCATGATGAGATGGCAGGGCCAACCACCCACCACCCATGGAGGTCACTGGTGGAGTGGAGGCCGACCTGCAGTCTGTGGAGGACCCCACACCAGAGCAGGGGTCCGTGCTTAAAGGAGTCCAGGACTATGAGGGGAGAAGCAGCCCCCACTATTGTAGTTCAGTGCTGGGCGAACTGCAACACACAGGGGTGACACATGTTAAGGCAGCAGGGGAACTGTCATGGTTTGGGCCTGATCTGCAACCAACCACCGCATCTGGTCACCCTCCCTTCCCCCTCCCCACCTGGGAATGGGGGAGGGGATTAGAGGGGTGAAGGGAGACTCGCAGGCTGAGATAAGAACAGTTTAATAATGGCAATGAAACGAGAACAATGACGATGATGGGGGGAAAACAAAAAGAAATATATAAACAGGCAATGTACAGCGTAATTGCTTACCACCTGCTAACCAATATCCAGCCCGTTCCCAGCTAGCAACCCTGAGATCCCAAGATCCCACAATCACAATCCCGGAAGTGAGAGAGCTCCTTCCCAACCACCCCTCCTTTATATACTGAGCATGACGTTCCATGATATGGAATATTTCATTGGCCAATTAGGGTCAGGTCCTCTGTCCATGCTCCCTCCCTGCTCCCTGTGCCCTTGTGCACAGTCAGAACATGGGGAGTCGGAGAGTCCTTGAAGTCTTGGTAGAAGCTGAAAACATCAGTGTGCTATCAGCATTTTTCCCATACCAAACCAAAAGCTAAATCCAAAACACAGCACTCATCTAGTCCCTGAAAAGGAATATTAACTCTATTTCAGCCCAAACCAAGACAGGAATGGTTTAAGAAACTGAAAGAATCTATGCCTCAAACATTCATTGACACAGAAAGCATCAAGGACAAGTTGTGGCCTTTGTGATTAGTCAAAGGAATTCTGCCCAGGGAAGGGTGGAGTGCATTGAAGGATGCGCAGCTCCACTTACTTGATTATGTGATAAATTCCTTAAGTAAGCCTCAAAAAAACTGATAATCTAAAGGCTGGACAATTACCCAAGAAGAACAAAATCTGAGGAAAAAGTTGGTAGGAGGGAACAAGACCACCTTGTCTCTCATGGAAATGTGTTCCTGGAATACCTGCCTCTCTTTATCTAGTATGCTAATCAGCTGATAAAATGAACTTAAAATGTGACAGAAAACTTTGTTGTTTGTGCACCCACCACCCAAGATAACCAAACCTCACACAATATTGGAACCTGGATGGAGAACCAGACCCTTTTTTTCTCTCTCTTTTTCTCCTTTCCTTTTCTTTTCTTTCCTTTCTTTTCTTATAGGTTTATCAATAAGAGACCACATTTGTTACTATCCTTTTCCAAGTTGAAGTTATTTCTACGGCAAGTAAAACATTTTAACTGGTCATTTGGTGTGGTTTCACCTTAATTTAACCCGAGGGGATCACAGAACCTTTACGACTCGCTGGGCTCCCAGTCTGGGTTGTAACAAATGGCTATATCCCATGGGAAGGAATCATGCTGAAGAAGTTCATGGAGGACTGTCTTCTGTGAGAGGGGACCCACACAAGCCATCTAAGGTAACTATTCTTTTGATTTGGTTCCTTTTTCTCCAGAACATGGATCTGTATCAGTACCTATCTCCATTTTGATAGACTTTCCTCCAGAAATTTATTTAAACAAATCTAAAAAATTATAATATTGCATTCAGTTCAGCCACCTTCATCTCATTTGTTGAGCATTGGTAACAGCTAAGACTTCGGATAACGCCAACCGAAGTCCAAGCAAGCTCTGGGTGAGCCTGGTGAGGGTGAAGGAGAGGGATATTACATCTGAAACTCCTTTCATTGGGTAAGGGGAATTTCATCTTTGGCCACTGAAGCTGCAGTTTGCAGGCATAGCTTGTGAATGATTGCCAATAACTAGTATGGAGCCACGATTTGCAGCTATCAGAAGAGTAGGGTCTTTATAGGATCAGAGGTGTCTGTTGCTGTCTTGAGGAATGTCTTGTGCTGAGTCCAAGGAGTAACTAGCTTGCAGGGTGGGCCTGTTGAGGTTCACACATTTGCCGAGTGTTCTGGCCTTGTCTTGTCCAGAATGGAGCAGTGGCCTGGAAAGAGCCATAACTGGCTATCATGGATATGAGAGATATATTAGTCTCCAGAGTTGCTGCTCCAAACTAGGAGCTTCATGGGGGACAGAAGTGATCATTACTCTCTAACAAAGGCTATTGCATGCTGCAAGAGCCAGGGATCTGACTGTCACACAGGCTGCAGTCACTTATCTTCAATATGAAAACATAGAGCAGTGGGAAAAAGATGGTGGAGACTGCGAACTCCAGCTGAAACCCATCTTACTACTACTGCTTTATTCTAGACATGTGGTCTCCATGAAAGCAACTAAGCTAATCCTTAGCACTTCATCCTGGAATCTCAGTTTACACGAAAAATGAAAACTAATAGGTCATGGTCTTCCAGCCCTCTTTTCCTTCCTGAGACCACAGGGATTTATTCATACTGTATGTTGATTCAGCTATGCTGTTTATATATCAGGTTCACTAAAACAAAATAGTTTACTTTTACAGTGTTGCCATATCCTTGACACGTGATTGTCTTCCAAAACCCGCTAGAGCTAGGTAGTCCTCCCAGTTCCTGAGTATTGTTCAGAACCTAGGACTGGCCAGGAAACATTCTCAGTAGCTCACTTGCATGTAGTGAATTATTTTTAGAAAGTAAAAGAAACCATATGAGTTCCTATCAAGAATTTAATTTCTCACTCCATGATAAACCACTTTTGCAGATCTCATCTCATGACACAGACAGTTCTAACCCAGGATATTGTGTGGAACCAGTGACCAAAGGATAGAAAAACACTTTAGGACAGGAGATAATTGTCAACTGTGCACAGCAGGAAGGAGTTTTTCTCTTCCAAGATATACTGCTTGGGTTCTTATGCCAGGTTGAGTTTACTGCCTACACTTCAGCATATACTTTGGCTTCATTGTCACAGGATCACAATAACAAAGATTTGCAAGTGTCAGGGCCTTCATCTCAGTGAAAGCTACAAAGTACTTACCCCACTGTACGGGGCCTGGCTAGGATAGAATTAATTTTCTTCATAGGAACTCATATGGTGCTGTGTTTAGATTTTTTACCAAAAGTGTACTGCTAATAGATAAATGTTCTAGGTTTTACTGAATAGTGTTTTCAGAGCATCAAGGCCTTCTCCATTTCTCACTTTGCCTGCCCTGCCACCCCCTCTACCCCTACTGAATAGGGGTATGAAATAGACTGTGAATGGGCACTACTGAGCAGATAACCCAAAGTAACCAAAGAGATAGTCCATACCATAAAAAGGAAAAGGTAGGGTTTTAGAGGGTGCTAGCTATCTTTTGCTCAGGAAATGGCTCAGAATTGGTCTACCCACAGGAAGTAGCAAGTGATTGCCTTTGCATCACTTGTTTTACTTTGTTTTCTTCCCTCTTCTTTCACTCATCCTTCACTTATTAATTATTATCTTGGTTTTTGTTTGTTTGTTTTATCTCGACCCCCAAATTTTCTAGGTTTTATTCTTCCTTACCTCTTCCCCAGTCTCAACAGGTGTGGCAGAGGGGAAGTGAGCGAGTGAGTGTGTGGTGCTTACTGGCCCACCACAGTTAATCCACAACACCCACCAATCCAATACAAATAAGACAATTTTCTAGTTAGTTCTAATTGAAAAGTAGTAATTTGCACCATGGGACACTGTGGTGACAGAAATGCCAAAGGAACAATATAGATCTACTTAGATAGTAATGGGGCCCTAAAAATCCTGATTATGCATTCAGATTTGGTATTGTGCTCTCACAATTTATATTTAGTTTGTTAATAGCAGTTCATTCTGATGGAAGAAAGTAATTAGTTGTATCAGAAACCAAGGATTAGTGAAAGTACCCAAGGCAGATGGAATAAAAGTTTCAGCGTGTTTTCTTAAGGTTTTTCTGAAAATTCTACTTGAGCTGTCTTGTCTAGGTCAGTCCTACCCACTAGTTGAGGGAAGACCATATTGGATTTACTTTCTTCACAGCTTTGATCAGCTTCTTTTGCTTCCTCACAGTGTTTGTCTGTAGTTCCCAGAGGAAAGAGACCCAGCAGACAGTCTGTGATTGCTCCTTCTGTGAATATTAGATGGAATATATTCCAGCTGTGACAAATGTCATTTCATATTGGAGAGCCTAGGGAGGAGGGGTGTGAGTGTTGGGGGGGAGGGAGTGTGTGTGTACAGGGGCATCCATTTACAGGCTATTCAACTTAAAAGACAATACAATAAATAAAAAAAATAATAAATTAAACACAGACATATGCATACTGTAATAAACAGAA